CGGGTTCAATCCCCGGTGGAGGCGGAGACAAATGGGCAAAACGTTTCTTTCACCCTGATGCCCCTGTTACCTAACAGTAAATAGGTACCTGGGAGTTAGACAGCTGTCACGGGCTGGTTCTTGGGGGTGTGTAACAAAAAGGAGGCCTGGTCGAGGACCGGGCCGCGGGGACGCTAAGCTCCGAAATTATCTCAAGATAACCTCAAAATGATATTTTGTGTTGAACGTAACGATCAAGTTACCTCAATAAAATTGGCTAGACTGAAATTGATAAATGTTTGACATTTGAATATATACTTGTTCATGGGGATGATGTGTCACTAAAGTTTAGTGTTTACACAAACAATACGAATAATTTATCTTATGTTCATTATTTCTCACGACAAAGATACAATGTGAAACAATCAATTTTTTCCTCTATGTATCTAAGAGCTCTTCGGGTTGTTACTCCAGAACTCTTAGATGAAGAGTTTAAGAATATTGATTCTATTGGTCTCAAGCTTTGTTACCCACTGAGTTTTTGGGAAGGTTGTCGTAGCAAAGCCCGTCGTACATATTATAATAATATTTGCAGTGAGAAAATTCACCCCAAAGTGTGTTATGCTTACCATATTTTTCTGGGTTCGAAAATATTGTCAAGGCCGGGAGCCGGTCGGCCGAGCGGACAGCACGCTGGACTATGATCCTGTGGTCCCGGGTTTGATCCCGGGCGCCGGCGAGAAACAATGGGCAGAGTTTCTTTCACCCTATGCCCCTGTTACCGAGCAGTAAAATAGGTACCCGGGTGTTAGTCAGCTGTCACGGGCTGCTTCCTGGGGGTGGAGGCCTGGTCTAGGACCGGGCCGCGGGGACACTAAAAAGCCCCGAAATCATCTCAGGATCTCAAGATAAGGCCTTGAAACATTTTGATATACATGTATTGTTTAATTACGAAAATACAGTTGGAAAACTATTATTTAGAAACAGTCGTCGTAGTGATAATTGTGTCAGTTACATGACACGTGAAGATAAAGGAGTTCACCACTACTTAGCTAAACTTCACATCTCTTATAACTACCCAACTAAAAGGTTATGACTACTCTAAGTCAAATTTAAATTGAAATCTCCTTTGTAATTTGCATATGGGATAGTGATTAATTAATGAGATAACTTGCTAAAGTGATCCAGTGTGTACTAACTGAGCGTCCTGGGTGTACTAACTGAGCGTCCTGGGTGTACTAACTGAGCGTCCTGGGTGTACTAACTGAGCGTCCTGGGTGTACTAACTGAGCGTCCTGGGTGTACTAACTGAGCGTCCTGGGTGTACTAATGGAAAGTTGAATAAACACTGACAGGAACACTTGGGCATTATCAACAGGATTTACTACGCTTATGGGTTATTTACATTGTATTGCGTGTGCAAGGATTCACAATTTGTGTGCAATACTGCACATCAGACTGAATGATTAATAGGACAAATATTAGACCCAGAAATATCGGCTTATCATATGTTGTTGAACATATATCAAGAAGTGATTTGCACTTCAGTTGCAAACAGCATCTATGTGACTTAAGTTAGGAAATAATTAATGCTCTGGGAGATGTTATCTTTCTAGATGTTACTGTGTACTCACCTAGCTGTGTCTGCGGGGTGTTGAGCTCTGGCTCTTCGGTCCCGCCTGTGTTGTCAGGTTGCTGGAGCAGGTTGACAGAGGTAACAGTGTTGCCAAGTCTTGAAAGTGACAGTTAAAGAGACCGGATGGAAGTGCTATCTTCAAATTACTACCTTTTATTGTGTTAGATTTTGTGTTATACATGTGTAGGGGAGTGCTAGCATTTAGTGAGGCGGAGGCCCGGTCTCTGTAACCAGGAGGCCCGGTCTCTAACCAGACCCCCCCCCCCTGGGTGGTGGTCTGGTCAGTCACGCTCTTAGACGCTGCTGCTAGTATTCTGAGCCAGAAGTAACAGCCAGATTGATCTGGTCTCCTTTGGAAGTGTTTATCAACAAAACGAGATCGAATCTAGTAAATAAAACACAAAAGACACACACACACACACACACACACACACACACACACACACATGCACACACACACACACACACACACACACACACACACACACACACACACACACACACACACACACACACACACACACACACACACACACACACACACACACACACACACGGGACCTTTGTGAGGCGGGACCAAGAGCCAGAGCTCAACCCCGCAAACACAACTAGGTGAGTATACACACACACACACACACACACACACATGCACACACAAACACACACACACACACACATGCACACACAAACACACACACACACACACACACACACACACACACACACACACACACACACACACACACACACACACACACACACACACACACACACACACAAACACACACACACAGCAGTCCACATCTCGACCATATACAAACATAAACACTATCTCACCCCCAAAGATTTGGGGGGAAACAGGTGGCAGAAGCTGAGCGCACTTACCGTGTCCGGGTGTAAGGGCGAAGATGTGAAGCAGGAGCCACCATCCTGGGTGGTGCAGGAGAGGCCCGTCACCCATGGTCCTTCACAGACCACGTTATCTTCTCTTTATGTCTTCCTCTCCGCAGACTCACTCCATCTTCCTCTTCCTTCGGTCTTATACACACTTTAGCGAATATTCACAACACTCACAGGGTTCGCCACATCATTTACAACACTTCATTTTGGTATATGCGGGAACCATTCACTTGTTTGACGTGCTGGTGGTACACGTCTACGTAGTCAACATGGTGGTGGTAGACGTCTAGACGCTTACCAGGCACGTCACAACGGTTGGCCAGCGTGTGCGGCGGCACGGCGCGCTACCTCACCCGCTGCAGAAGACCCCGGCCGGGCTACACTACAACACAACAACGGCACATTATCTCCACTCGTACATCTTTCCCTTATCTAAACGGCCGCGGTCCGTTTTCCGTGAATTTCTGGCGAGATGTATGGTGGCCCGGTGCGTTCACTGCCACTTAAATAATCGCCGCCCGTTCGAATTCCGTTCGAACGGAACAAGGGTGTTGGTGAGCCATGGTCGCCCGGTGTGAGTGCTTCCCACCTCCCTCCCCCCAAAAAAACACTTATTTGACACTTAAATGAACACACTCAGGCTACTGGGGAGCACCTCCACGCACTTAACTAGTGCGATACTCGCTGCTCACACACCCAGGAAGACAGTGAGATGACTTAACGGTTGGGCCAGAGTCCGGGTGACCACTGTGGTGTCCGGCCTGACCACACTGGTCGAGTCAGACCATCACCCTGCCACACTCGGGGCAGCAGTGTGAGCACAACCGTCTCTGCCAGCCTCCCACAAGCACACTCTCTCTGTAAAGACAAAACAACAGCATCAACTTGAGAGATCTAGACTAAGTGAGGAAAATATAAAGATAAATTTTTATTATAAAACTTATTTATTGAAATGAACCTTGGCAGACTACAGGCCCGAGTGGCGGTACCTGCCGGCCCGAGTGGCGGTACCTGCCGGCCCGAGTGGCGGTACCTGCCGGCCAGGTGTTATGACACCACGTGACACCCGTCATATATATGACATGACACCTGTCACATACCAGCACCTGCCACATACCAACATCTGCCACATACCAACACCTGCCACATACCGAAACATACATTACACTACACATACACACATTACCAGTGTACACGGTGACGTTAGAGCAGAGTGTGGCCCTTATGATTCACAGTTGTCTCAGACACATGTTTACCACACCAGCAGGATGTGAAGATGTTAGGTGGAACCCTGGAGGTGGAGCGTTGAAGGGGGGGGGGGCAGGTGTTAGTGGAACACTGAAGGGAACAAGGACGGGTGGAACACACGGGGATGGAGATGTGTGTGTGTGTGGGGGGAGGGGGGGGAGAGAGGGGGGGAGGGGTAATGCAACATCACCATGGCACAAAATCAATAAACAGTATGAATATTATGGAAGACGTTATCTGCCTCCGCCGGAAATTGGTACCTGCGGGTGTTGGTCGATAAGAGACTGGTGAATACTGGGGAAATTGTCAAGCGCCAGCTGTTGAACTACCCGGTACTCGCCTGTTAGACACACACACACACACACACACACACACACACACACACACACACACACACACACACACACACACACCTTCCCGCCGGAATGTCGCGTAAATAGGATCTAGCGCCGAAACATTGACTTGAAACAAGCGGGAGAAGCTGCTGGGCTGTCTTCAAACTACGTGTCTAACCACGTGGCGACCTTAAGTAGCCGATACGAATGGTCACACAAGTGGCTACTATAGTGTTCAACCCCAGTAAGTGCAAGGTTATGATACTGAGGAACGAAACATCATCATCACAGTTATGAGACTAAGAATGACAAAGGAAAGTGATTGTAATGTTGCGTATATGTTAAATAAAATAGAATGAAATAATACAGTATGTTTATATAATTTATGCAGCAGGTGGACGGGAAGTCAGTCATATATGGAGCCTAGAATTACTAGGTACCGGTACTGGCGACACCGGTACTGGCCGCACTGGTACTGGCCACACTGGTACTGGCCGCACCGGTACTGGCCACACTGGTACTGACTGCACTGGTACTGGCCACACCGGTACTGGCCGCACCGGTACTGGCCACACTGGTACTGACTGCACTGGTACTGGCCGCACCGGTACTGACTGCACTGGTACTGGCCGCTCCGGTACTGGCCGCACCGGTACTGCCCGCTCCGGTACTGGCCACACCGGTACTGACCGCACCAGTACTGACCGCACCGGTACTGACTGCACTGGTACTGGCCGCACCGGTACTGGCCACACTGGTACTGACTGCACTGGTACTGGCCGCACCGGTACTGACCGCTCCGGTACTGGCCGCACCGGTACTGGCCGCACCGGTACTGACCGCACCGGTACTGACCGCACCGGTACTGGCCGCACCGGTACTGACCGCACCAGTACTGACCGCACCGGTACTGGCCACACCGGTACTGGCCGCACCGGTACTGACCGCACCAGTACTGACCGCACCGGTACTGGCCACACCGGTACTGGCCGCACCGGTACTGACCGCACCGGTACTGACCGCACCAGTACTGACCGCACCGGTACTGGCCACACCGGTACTGGCCGCACCGGTACTGACCGCACCGGTACTGGCCACACCGGTACTGACCACACCGGTACTGGCCACACCGGTACTGGCCACACCGGTACTGGCCACACCGGTACTGGCCACACCGGTACTGGCCACACCGGTACTGGCCACACCGGTACTGGCCACATCGGTACTGGCCACACCGGTACTGGCCACACCGGTACTGACCACACCGGTACTGGCCACACCGGTACTGACCGCACCGGTACTGGCCGCACCGGTACTGGCCACACCGGTACTGACCGCACCGGTACTGGCCGCACCGGTACTGACCGCACCGGTACTGGCCACACCGGTACTGACCGCACCGGTACTGGATGCACCGGTACTGGCCACACCGGTACTGGCCACACCGGTACTGGCCGCACCTGTACTGACCGCACCGGTACTGACCGCACCGGTACTGGCCACACCGGTACTGGCCACACCGGTACTGGCCGCACCGGTACTGACCGCACCGGTACTGACCGCACCAGTTCACCTAGCAGTAAATAGGTACCTGGGAGTTAGACAGCTGCTACGGGCTGTTTCCTGAGGACCCTGTACCAAAAAAGACCGGGCCGCGGGGATGCTAAGCCCAGAAATCACCTCAAGATAACTTCAAGATAACCTGAAGATAACCTCAAGACAGGCTAGGAAAGTTTTTACTACTCTGACGAAGATAAACTTTTCAAACACAAGACTCCTGGAATAGATTTCAAAAAATTCTAAAACTTTACGAAGATGTACTGGCTCCACCACACGAGTCGAACCCTGAGAGTCCAGGATGAGGGGCTAAGTCTCGGCCGCTCGGCCAAGGACAATAGCCCTTCTGCAGGTGTTATAGCATTGTATTGTCACCAACCCCGTTACCACAACTTGTCAATCCTTCACAGGTACAACCACGTCTATACTGAATCAAAAATTCTTTAGTCTCCTCTTTTGCTGCAAAAAAAAATACTTTAGAATCAAGTCAAAGAAGCGACGATAAATTGGATTAAAAATTCAATACATGGGCCAATGATTAGACTCGCGTGTGCACGCGCGTGAACCACACCAGCACACGCAGTCAGCCTTAAACTGACGCACTCTACTCCTCTAATATTTACAGCCACACTCATCAATACTTCACCGGACCACGTGTACAATATTGACCAGTGTTTAGGGTCATTATTTACAGAGATCAGCACGGAATGGTTGGCGTCTCCGGCCTCGAGTGGTCACTATAGTTATGGTGACCACACCACCAGGCCGACCACCACGTGTCCCTCCATACTGGACCACTAGCAAGTCCACTGTGCTCCACCACGGACCGAAACGTCGTCGGCTACCTTGTCTTGTGGTGTGTGTGTGTGTGTGTGTGTGTGTGTGTGTGTGTGTGTACTCACCTATATACTCACCTATATGTGCTTGCAGGATCGAGCATTGACTCTTGGATCCCGCCTTTCTAGCTATCGGTTGTTTACAGCAATGACTCCTGTCCCATTTCCCTATCATACCTAGTTTTAAAAGTATGAATAGTATTTGCTTCCACAACCTGTTCCCCAAGTGCATTCCATTTTTCTACCACTCTCACGCTAAAAGAAAACTTCCTAACATCTCTGTGACTCATCTGAGTTTCCAGTTTCCACCCATGTCCCCTCGTTCTGTTATTATTACGTGTGAACATTTCATCTATTTCCACTTTGTCAATTCCCCTGAGTATTTTATTTGTCCCTATCATATCTCCTCTCTCCCTTCTTTTCTCTAGTGTCGTAAGGTTCAGTTCCTTCAGCCGCTCTTCATATCCCATCCCTCGTAACTCTGGGACAAGCCTCGTCGCAAACCTCTGAACCTTCTCCAGTTTCTTTATGTGTTTCTTCAGGTGGGGGCTCCATGATGGCGCGGCATACTCTAAGACGGGTCTCACGTAGGCAGTGTAAAGCGCCCTAAAAGCTTCCTCATTTAGGTTTCTGAATGAAGTTCTAATTTTCGCCAGTGTAGAGTACGCTGCTGTCGTTATCCTATTTATATGTGCCTCAGGAGTTAGATTAGGTGTCACATCCACTCCCAGGTCTCTTTCTCGAATCGTTACAGGTAGGCTGTTCCCCTTCATTGTGTACTGTCCCTTGGTCTCCTGTCACCTTATCCCATTTCCAAAACTTTACATTTACTGGTGTTAAACACCAGTAGCCATTTCCCTGACCATCTCTGCAGCCTGTTTAAGTCCTCTTGGAGGATCCTACAATCCTCGTCTGTCACAACTCTTCTCATTAATTTTGCGTCATCTGCAAACATTGACATGTATGATTCCACTCCTGTAAACATATCATTTACGTAAATTAGAAAGAGGATTGGTCCCAGCACCGATCTTTGAGGATCCTTGATCCTTGTGTGTGTGTGTGTGTGTGTGTTTACTAGTTGTGTTTACTAGTTGTGTTTTTGCGGGGGTTGAGCTTTGCTCTTTCGGCCCGCCTCTCAACTGTCAATCAACTGTTTACTAACTACTTTTTTTTTTTTTTTTTTTTTTTTTTTTTTTTTCCCACACCACACACACATACACACACACCCCAGGAAGCAGCCCGTGACAGCTGACTAACTCCCAGGTACCTATTTACTGCTAGGTAACAGGGGCACTTAGGGTGAAAGAAACTTTGCCCATTTGTTTCTGCCTCGTGCGGGAATCGAACCCGCGCCACAGAATTACGAGTCCTGCGCGCTATCCACCAGGCTACGAGGCCCCCACGAGTGTGTGTGTGTGTGTGTGTGTGTGTGTGTGTGTGTGTGTGTGTGTGTGTGTGTGTGTGTGTGTGTGTGTGTGTGTGTGTGTGTGTGTGTGTGTGTGTGTGTGTGTGTGTGTGTGTGTGTACGTGTACTCACCTAGTTGTACTCACCTAGTTGTGTTTGCGGGGGTTGAGCTCTGGCTCTTTGGTCCCGCCTCTCAACCGTCAATCAACAGGTGTACAGATTCCTGAGCCTATCGGGCTCTGTCATATCTACACTTGAAACTGTGTATGGAGTTAGCCTCCACCACATCACTTCCTAATGCATTCCATTTGTGTGTGTGTGCGCGCGTGTGTGTGTGTGTGTACGTGTGTGTGTGTGTGTGTGTGTGTGTGTGTGTGTGTGTGTGTGTGTGTGTGTGTGTGTGTGTGTGTGTGTGTGTGTGTGTGTGTGTGTGTGTGTGTGTGTGTGTGTGTGAGTGTGAGTGTGAGTGTGAGTGTG